ATTTTATGTACTGATATATTTTCTCAAAACAGAAGCATCAGTATATAGAGATTCGATTATAGTATTAGATCATTTTCTAATAGTGAATATCTAACAAAAATACTAGCATAATCTTATCATAATTATGTCTATAAAACTGTTTTATTGTGATTTATAAATAAAATATCATATTAACATATTTATTAAACTCATTTTTTTGAAATAAATAAGTATATATATCTAATGTTACTAGTATTAAATTATCCATTAAATCAAGAAGGTAATGTATGATGTATGTTTAGAAATTCCTAAATTTTTCATAATATATTTTTTTATTATAAGCTATCTTTTATAAGCTAAATATAATAATAAGTTTATTCTCCATAGTTTAGGTTTTATTGTTAGTTTTTTAAATTTTCTAAAAACTGATTTATATATACAACTAAAAAAGGGATGAAATATAATAAATACTGATTCATATGTTTTGAATAAGATATAAAAGATCTATAAATAGAATTAGATATATAATTTCTTTTAGTATTATCAATTCAGATTCAGATTCAATTTATTAACTATTACTTTTCTTATAAATAATTGTTCTGAAAAATCAGCTGAAAGAGAAATTATATATTTTCAAGATATATTTTATTTCTGGTAATCTAAAAAGAATAATGTAAGTTTTTTAAACTTGAATTGTAAATTTTTCTTTATTTTAATTCAATAAATATATTAATAGCTTATATATAATTTTTAGTATTTTTAAATCTAATTCAATGTAATCCACTAATTTCATATGATTGAATTTTTGGTAATATTTCTTTAAAATATCTGTATTATAAGAATGGACTGTCAAATTTTTAATAAGGTTTGTATTATTATTAACCATTAAATTTTAGCTTAATTTCATTGAGTTATAACTATTAGCTAAAATTATTATAAATTTTCTGTATATATTATTTAAGAAGAAAAGCATTAATTCTGTAATAATTATGAATAGAAAAATTTATATCAGAATAATAAGAAATTGATAAAGTTTGAGTAGTAATAAATAATATATTTACTATATGAACTATTTGTGAGATAGAATTTATTGATAAAATACAAGTTTTATGTATATAGTGATAATTATTCGTATATGCAATTTAAATATTATTAAACTAAATTTTCAGTTATATTTATTAAAAATTTGACAAACTTTAATTAAATTTTATTATTTACATTTTTATTTTTTTTATTAAAAAAACTACAAAAATATTTTACAAAATTTTGAATATAAGTTTGTATACTATATTTTTAATTTTATTAAGTTTATTAAAGGCTATTTGATATGTTAGGTTTAATCCTAATTTGCTACTATATTTATATAATAAAGAATAATCTAATAGTAAATTTAATTTTACTTATTTATTTATTTTGTAATCTTACCATTTGATAATAAAGTATCATAATATTTTATTTTAAAGCTTTTTGAGTTTTCTAAGTTTTTTTTATTAGGATTCATTATCCTAAATAAAATCTCAAAAAATCCCTAAAGTTTGAGATCATGACTCTCTATAAATTAATAAAATTCATTGCATCTAATTTTGAAGAATTACCCTTTTATTGATCTTGATAAATAATTTTAGTTATTTATGTTATTTGATTATTAAAATAATTTGAAAACTCTATATAATTTAACAAATTTAAAAGTTACAATAAAATAAATTAATTAGATGATATACAAAATCTCAAAATTCAAAATCCTGAAACTTGAAATCCTAAAGTTATTCTAAAAATCATAATTCTAAAAAATTATAATCCTGAATAACATTATTCTGAGAACTTATTATTTCAAAAATTTTAATTTAAAATTTAATATTATATTTTTAACATTTTAAACAAAATACCAATTTATTATTAGCATAACCATAATCTTTTATTATTTAACTTGTATTAGTTATATAATTTTTTATATTTAATAAACAAAAGATAACTAAAAAAATTTTTATTAAAACAATTATAAAGAAATATTATATGTAATTTCACAAAGATAATTCATTGCTATACAATTTTCTCGATCATTAAAAAAATCATAATTTTTTTTCTCAATCAATTATAACTTTTTTTGTTTATAAGATTGTTTATCATAAAGAATTCTTTTAATTTGAACTTCAACTTGCTGTTACTCTTTTTGAAATTCTTTAATAATTGTGTAAACTTCTATATGTGTTTATCCAACCAAAGTTTTCCATCAATAATGCCAAGCCTCTATATAATTTTATGTTATTGGAATTCCTAATTTAATTGAATTATATACAAACTATAATTGTGGTAAAAAGAGAGAAAAAGTACGATTCCATTGTCAGTTCTTAATTATCATTGTATTCTTCACTAAATATAATTATTCTTAACCTACTGTATTACATTATTTGCAATTGAAGGTATTTCTGTTTTCAATTTATCAAATGCTGTAGAAATTTTATCTAATGGTAAAAATGCCAAAGTAAATAAATGACATAATATAAGACTAAGATATTCATCAGTACCATATTGAGTTGCTAATCCAAATTCTATTATCTTTTTCCAACCGCTTTGTGCTAAATGAAAAAAGCATTCTTTATTTCTAACTTCAGGAAATTTACTACATGATGCATTAATTGTTATCTGTTCAAAATCTGTAATAATTGTTGATGGATTTAATTCAATATTATTTTCTTTAGAAAAATCAATTAGATCTTGAAATAACTGCCTATAAAATTCTTCTGATTTGTTAGTCATTAATGCATATACAAGTGGAAGAATTTTAGAATTATTTTCTGTACCAATAGGTAATGTATAGTATATAGTTAATAAAAAACTGTTGGAATAGTTTTAAAAGTACCATCCATCATCCAGAATAATGCTTGTAATAAATATTGAATATTTGTTATTGTAGTAAATAAAAGAATTCTTTCTTGATTAACTATTGTGTATTTGATTAAAAAATAGAGATCCACTTAAAGTATAACAAAGTGAAATTGAAACATTAATCTCATTAAGAGTTTTTGGCTGTAATGGTATTGTTGTCCTTCTAATACATTTAATTCTTATATTAAGAGCATTTTGTGATGGTATTGTTTTGGATAATTTGCACGGCTGGTCTTTTATTTCTAAAGCTTGTTGCTTAATATGGGCAACAGCTTTTGCAACATTACCACTGCTAGCTTGGGGAGTATGAATGTGATCAGAAGTTTTTTGTAAATAGTGTAAATTATTAAAAAAGTTGTTACTGCTTGACCTTTATATTTCACAATACCAATAATAGGTATACTCCAAGTTTCGTTCCTTTACCATCAAATATCTATTAACTTTTATTTTATCATTTTCTTTTTGAGAAGGTATGATTTCTACGATTACACAATTTTCACCCATATTTGTTGTTTGTAATTTAGTAAAAGCAGTAATTTTAAAAGAATAGCTAACCAGAAATAAAATGAAAAATTATCTTTATAAATCCATGTGAACGATCATTAAAAATATCAAATCATGTCATTTTTATAATTTTTCGCAGTTAAATAAAATTATAAAAATTCTGCAGTCTCAGGATTATGACATTTGGGATATTGTTATTCGGATTCCGACTTCAGGATTTCGAGTTTCGGGATTTCGTACTGGATCCAATTATTCTAATAAACAAAATAATGAACTACGTATCATTAGTTTGAGATTTATGCATTAAACTATTTACTTTCTCTCTTAGTTCCAATACTGTTCAAGCCTTTCATTATTTACAATATTATTTAATTGCTCATAATTTTTTTTGACAAATAAACTCGTTTTTTATCTCCTTTTGCATTATAAGTAGTATCATTGGTCATTTTAGTGTTTTGTACATAATTGATCTCCAATTTTAAGTTTAATAAACGATAGAGTATGAGAACTCTTATTTGCTTTCTCAAGTGACCAATATTTTAGTCTTCTGAAAGTTTCGTTGCTATTTTGTAATTCACATATTACACAAGGTCCGTAATTTTATCGTGGCCTACCTGTTGGTGACATTTGTTAATAAGCAAAGATTTGATCTTATGAAAATACTTTTTGATCTTGATCTAGGTATAGGGGAAGAAAAATAAGTTGTATACAAAATTTTAAGTTGTGGTGTCACGTTACTTTAATAAATGTAACATTTTGTATTTTTTATAATAATACGTATAATATATTTGTCGAAAGGTTTGTGTCACTTTATTAACCAATAATCATGAATTTTAACTATGCTTAAAATTTGACGGTATTTATTCTTTCACAGAAATTTTAAAGTTATTGTACAGTACTTCAATTCCAATTAAGTAACTAATGTAACGATAATAAAACAAACGAAAATAGTTTTTTTTTCCCCCATCTATTTATATCATAATAGAAACAATCAATTTAAATTTTCTCACCCCTTAAAAATTACATACACGATTATTACTCAATTTATTTATCAAAAAAAAAAAAAAGATACCTGTACCTTAAAATTATTACATCTTATTATGTTAAGGTCTATTGAATTTGGCATAAAATATTCCTACAAAACAAATTAAGACTATATAATTAACCTAGAAACACGTTAAACTTATTTGTAATATCACAATAAAAAAAAAAATTTCCATTTAAATGTGGTAACGTTTTAATTTTTGGTGTAATTGTTTGAAAAAAAAATGTTGAATGCTGATGGGCAATTACATATGAAAGGATTCAAGAAAGCGTGAAAAAAACCCATACATCGGGTTCCAAACAAGATTTTTTTTTAATTAAGAATCTCTCATTTTGGGCTATTTATTTCCCAAATTAAACATCTCTATTTACAGTAGTAATTATTACTACATGATGTTTAAAGTAAAATAAAAACCTATGGAATGTTTGAGAAGGTTGCAACATTCTAATATCATGTTGAGATGGTTTATATGATACCGGCAATTAAAATCCGCAGCATCCTTTTTCAGTCAGATGTGACTCTTACTTGTTAAAGGTTCATCTTGACCCAAGGATCACGCTCAGAGTAAATCCTCTTTTTTTCGTTCTCAATGGGCTCCTTTTTTACCTTGCTAAATATTTGAAGAAAAATATATTTCTTAGATGCACGTGCTGCGGTTACCATTAAACTATTTTTTAAAGGGGCAATTCTTAATTACAAACTTTTATTCAAGGTATTAAAATTATTGATTAATCCCTCCATTTAACTTGTCACAAATGAGAATTTCGTCTCCTTATTATCTTTTTTTTTTATTCTTACATCATGATCATTCAACTACTATATTCACATACCAAAAGATAAAATTATTTATGTAACATATAAGTAAAAAAAAATTGATGTAAGAACATTGTATTTAGTACTTGATAAGTGAGGATAAATGGCGTAAAACCTATGATTGTAGCAAAATGCACCTGATGTTGCATCAAGTATCTATTGGACAAAAATGATTAAAGCTCTTTTTTGTTTTTTTTCCTTTTTTCCTCTGCTTGATGTTTTCACGCATAAAAAAAATGTTTCGAAGAACAGGTGACAGAAAAAATTTTCAAACAAGCGTAACTTGCCCAATTTTGGTTAGAATTAAACAAATAAATATATGCAAATGAAAAGCCTGACAATCACTCTATCACCTTCCAGCAAAATCCTTCCCACACTTTAACAAAAATTATATTTATCGAATTTCATAAAGGTAAGAAACACAACGAAAGGCTATTTTACATTTCTGGAAGCAAGGAATACGATATGCTATTTGAAAGTTTGACAAAGATTCCAATTAATACTATCCGCAGAAACCTTAAAAAATCCAAAATACTGGAGATGTAAAGTATAAAGGTGATAACGGACGTATTAAAAAAATAACGACAAATACATCTCGGGCAATTGGATAATGCATTCGAAGGCAACCCTCAATTTCTGCTGGGTCTGTAGCTGATAAATTGAAAGATATAGGAGTAGATATCTCACGCTCAACTGGTTCAAGGCATTTGGCTAACCTTGGGTACCGCCGGAAATTACTGAGAAAATTGGCGAAAGAATCATATTAATCTTTTAATATCAATGTAAAAGGCAGCAGCGTTTAATTTTTTTTAATTTTTTGGTGAATTAGGGTGGAATGGAAAAATTCTAGATAGCCTTCTATTCAATCTTGTAAACTCAATATCACAGCGTTGTAGAGTTACTGCGAAAGAATCATATTAATTTTTAATATTAATGTAAAATAAAAGGCGGCGTTTTAATTTTTTTAATTTTTTGTTGAATTAGGGGTGGAGTGGGTGGAAAATTCTAGATAGCATAAGCTTCTATTCAATCTTGTAAACTCAATATTACAGCAGCGTTGTAAAAAGGTTACTGAAAAAATGGCAAAAGAATATCATATTAATAATTTTAAATAAAAATACTCAGTTAGCTTTAAAATGACGCATTTTACAGTTTAATTGATGCAATACTTATGGAATTAAAAAAGTTCAGTTTTTTTGCCAAATTTTAGATAAAAATGTATTTACTGTACGTAAGGGATTTATTTTTCAATTTTGTTCTCTCATTTCGAATTTTTTTAGCATCAAACGGTACGTTTGGTCACCTTTTCCTTTCTCCCCTTTTTCATTTCATTTCATTTTTTTTTTTGTGGATTAAGTTTCCCTCGCTTGGTTCTTTTTAAAAAAAAAGCTAAGGTCGATACATTTTTAAAAATGGAAATCAACTCCGCTCTGCCCTATCATGCCTTGGATGCGAACGAGCGAAAGCTTGCTGTGGGTAATTGATCAGTTCATGATTAGTAGAATCCTTACCTTCCTTTTTTGTTTCATATGCTATGATGTTTCATTTTTTATTTTAACCCTTTCAAAAGGTTCCTTTTTTTTTTTTTTACTTTTTTGACCAGAATTATATGAATACTGTATATTTTAGGAAAATTTAATCCTTATTATGACAATTTCCGTTTTGTGTGACAATCATAATCCTTGCATATTAAACATTTTTTATGCATGCTTCAGGCGAAAGAATTGCTTTGAAAAATCCCTTATAAAATGTGAAATTCCTCGTGAAAAATACTCTTAATATCTCTGTTGGTACAGTACATGAAATGGGTGCAAGAGATGTGTGCGAGCGTCAAGAATATTTAGACAGATCAAAGTCGAAATTTGGAAAACAGAGATATTTGGAATACTGCAATTGAAGGTATGGCGTTCGGTTTCATTTGCATAAATTTGCATAATTTACATATTCCTTTAGACTGTAATTTAATAATTTGTTGTGAATGGTACGTTAGGTAGACCGTCTCACTGGCAAGGTCACCAACTATTATTTGATTGAAAATGATTCGATTGAAAGTCATACATGTAGTTCTAGGATTGATGTTCGTGATGAAAATGTGAATCAATTCTTCCGGTTAACTTGAAGATTCATAATTTCATTCCGGCGAGATCATGTTTTGATGCTTTGTCAAGCAGGCTGATTCTTCAGATCGGAGATTAATCGGTCTCAGCAAATAATGATCAGATGAGTTTTATGGACTCACGTCTTATGTATCACATCTTTGTGTATATATCTAGGCTGCGATATTGGAATATCAATCGTATGATGATGCGACTCACAATCATTAGATATCATGCAAAGGTATGTGTAAAAACAAGAGAGATTTCTTATCTCGAGATTACGGAAAATTGTGATCATTTAAAAAGAGAATCTCATTGAAATCCTGGGGTTTTATTAAAACAAAACTATTCAATTCACAATCTATGTATAGTGACGGATCACTCCCTTACTCAACCTAATAAAAATACTAGAGAAGTAATTGGTAAATATTTAATTTTTTGTTAAATTCTTTAATTAGGACTAATTTACTAATTATATTATATATTATTTTTTTTTCATTCGT